CTAGAAGCATTTGCTGAAAAAATCGGTACCGTTAGCGACGAAGACTGCGGGAAACTATGTAAAAAACGCATCTTCGCACCGGCTGTTAGTGCTCTGGTTATTTATTTGAAATTTTGCAGCAGGCGATGGTCTTTGACTATATTACTGCACTCATACTTTTCTGGTTTTCATGTGGTTATGTTTACGCTTTATTTTTTAAGCCGCGACTATGTAGTTCTTCACAGAAGTATTTTTTGTTTAAAAATATATTGGTTGTATTTTATAGAAGAGTTGTACACGGTCGTTCCACGTAACGTGTGCAAATGCGGCAGGCATGGATATGCGCGCCGAAATAGTGGATAATTCGAAGCGTGATGGTGGAAGCGAAGTGCGATACACTGCATTTTGCCATTTTCACTCCACAGGTTTCATGAAGTACGCATTCAAATTCATCCAGAATTGTTTATTTGAAAAAGATTTTTTATTATTTGAAGTTGAAGAGAAAATAATGAAGTAGAAAAGATAAGGAAGAAAGGAAAACGAAGAAAAATCGAGTTTTTAAAAAAAATTCATAGACTTTTACAGTATTTCTGGAAATGGCACACATAAATCGAACAGGGAATGCATGCTAGTTGGAGATATGGAGCTTAGAATCGCTAGTTTTGTACAGCCTCGCTTGGCGTGTAGCAACATTCTGTTATGTGTAAATGATTTCAGATAAATCCTCACGCCGGATTCCGGGTGGTCTTGGTGTTCTTAGCACTTTTTTGAACTTATTTTAGTTTTTTTCTGACATTTTTGTCGTTAAGTCTCATTCGCATTCTCACTGGTAGTGACCTCAGTTCAAAAAGTCGTCAACTTCAACACAGAATTTATGACGCGATTTTTGCTAAAAGCATTTTCTGGATTAATTTTTTCGTTTAAGTTTTTAATTGCTTTTTCCTCGATCAAGATTTCACTTTCACTCGCTGCATTTATCATCATAAATTCTGTGTTGAAATTGCCGACTTTTTGAATCGAGATCACTGAGAATGCGACTGAGGGGCGTAGTATAATGGGGCTGACGATCTGTAGTTGTATGAGGCATGTTCTTGGCAAGTTT